ATGTTGGCTACATAGATCAACTGAGGAGCAAACATTTTCTTACCCATGACCTAGATGTGGTATAAATGGAATTAGAATTTTCCTCCATATCTGAGGATTGGAAAGCTGATAGTATACCAGAGACTATGATTCAACTAAGAGGCCCACATAGTAAGACCTCCGTAATGGATCATGGCTTTTAGCAGTAATGTAAGCAAAACACCCAAAAGCAATAATTAATATATATATGCGTGTGTTACACTAGTTTATAACACTGTATAAATTTTTGGAGTACAGCTTCACACCTATAAAAATGTGTAATTCCACACCACACACACCAACAGAGTTCTAATGAGCCTCCACTAACAGGCTTCCCCTAACACCCCCCCCCTCCAGGATCAGGTCCTCCTGCCAATTTGTGTCTGTGCAAGCATGGACTTCTTTCTTTTCATATGTGTGCGTGTGTGTGTGTGTGTGCCCTCACCCCACTGAAAGGAGGACTCTGGTGAAGTTTTTCTTAGAGGTGACCCAAGAACCCCCATCTGTGACCCCAACACCTCTCCCAAGGAAACAAGGAAAGTCTGAGAAACTGTCATCCAGGCAAACTGGATGGGATTATTGGGCATAAAATGGACATTAGCAAAAAGGAATTAAAGTATGGCGTTTAGTTATTATGTCAACATTGCTGCATTAGTGGTAAAAAAAAAATCTGTACTCATGTAGGATGTTAACAAAATGGAAATGGTGTTGGATAAAAAAGACGTGTACTGCCTTTGCAAGTTTTCTGTAAATCGAACAGTATTCTTTAAATGTTATTTTTTAAAATACTCTCAATATTTAATAGGTTATATAAAGAAAAATTTTTTTCTTTTCCAGTTTTCCCAGGTATCACCGTCCAGGGACTGGAGAGAGGGGTTCTGGGAGAAAAGATGGAAACCTCACACACAGGGCAGGCTCCGGAGTCTCCTCTCCTCTGAGCCCTGCTGCTCTGACTCCTCACAGAGCATCTCACCCCCAGGTCGCCACCCTCCAGCATCCCCAGCTGTGCCCACCTCAGCCCCCGCCCCGTCCTGGCGGCGCCACCAAATCCGGAGCAGCGCGGCAGCGCCCCCGTGTGGCCACAGGGCTGAGCACAGGAGCCCAGAGCCGCCCTTTCTCCTGCTCAGCCAGGCCCTCCCCAGGCTCCCTGGGCCCCCAGCGGCAGGACAGGGATCTGCTCACAAGGGGGCGCCCAAGTCCAGTGTCAGGTCAGAAGTCCCCAAATTTTCTTAGTCCTATGGACAAAGGACAAAAGCAGGTTTCCAGGTCATTACAGCTGATTCCCAGACTATGGGCTGATCCCCAAATATAGAGGTTCCTTCAGTCTCGGATGGATCCTTGGACTCCAGAGTCTCTGTACTTTGTTTCTGCTTCTGCTTCCAGGGAATTAACATTCAATTCTACCCAGGAGCCCAGGGCCTCGCCCAAGAAAAGGACAAGGTTCCAGGAAAACACCAAGACCCGGGGCCAACCACCATCCACGTCTTGCAGCAGGGGGGAGCAGGAGTGATCAGAGCCGGGGAGAGACCCGGGGAGCTGGTGGTGGTGTGTGGTGGATCATTGGTGGAAGGGCCGCACCTAAGAGGAACAATAACTATAGAAAGATGACCCACGCTGTAAGGAAATAAATAAACAAATATACATCTTTTAAAAATTCTCCATCCCTGAATGAGGGGAGGTTGAGGAGAGCCCCCAGGGCATGACTAGGAAGACAGGGAGGCTCCTGGAAATGGAGCAGAGGATGAAAATGGGGACTAGGGGATGGGGCCCAAAAGGAGTGGTGGGGGCACCAGGAAGGGTGGGGCCAGGAAGGGGCAGCATCGGGGACACTGTGAGGGGAAGGTCTGTGTGGGAGACGCGGCTCTGGCTGGGGCTGGGAGAGTCTCTGTCTCCCCTGGTGGGACTGCAGAGGGGCTGGAGCTGTAACTGATTAGGGAATCACTTAGGTTCTGGGCCTTTCCTGTCCGTGCAGGGCTGGTGTGACTCAAACACGCACACTCAGGCTGATGAAGGAGAGAGAGGAGGAGAGGACAGATGGTTAGGAGGAGGCCCCCATTTCCTGAGCCTCAACATCCTCCCCAACTCCCCAATGCTGGGGTGGCAGGGAGATTCCTGCAATGAAGAGGAGGTGATTCAGGGAATCAAGAGGAGAAAGGCCTGTGCTGCCCTGGAGGGCCATCTGTGGGGAATGATTCTGGGGCTCCAGGGCCCCACTCCCTGCTAGCAGGTTAGAGTCAGCCCTGCTCACAGCTCCAGGCTGCTGACAGCCCCTCTGTGCCGTGACCCTGCAGACACCGCTCTGGGGATAGTATAAAGAAAACAAAACAGCAAAATTAAATGGGAATCTGAAAACGGTAGAACTGATTTTTAAAAATCACATATTTTGAAGGACACTTCAGAGGACGTGGATTCCTTGTCTGACAGCTCATTGCAATCAGGACCTTGACCGTCACGTGAGCTACTCTGGCCTCCACTGTTTCTTGTGAGAAAACAGCCACTGATCACTTTATCGCCTGAATATTTTACTGGTTTGTACCAAATCTCTTCCTCCTTTGCACCTAAAACAAAGATCTGGCGTCTCCACAGTCTCTGAGGGGGAGGCGGCAGGAGGGGCCTCACTCAGAGGCTCCAGCTCTGGGTCCCACGAGGCTGCGATGGGGACGAGATGTTGGCGACTCTGAATGGCCGTGATCAGCGTGGAAGGACCTGCCTCAGAGCTCCTGCATGTGGCTCCTGGAGAAAACCCTCAGGTCCTTGTCCTGTGGGCGTCCCCTTAGCTGAGGGTCCACCGTGTGCAGGGAGTCACCCCAGAGAGGGGGAGCCCGGGCGGGAAGTCTCAGCCCCTGTGAGCCTGACTCTGTGACGTGGCGCGTCCCTTCTGCTTCATTCTCCTCACGAGGAAGAGCCAGCGAGTCAGACACACTCACGGGGGGAGCTGTCTCCCCTCCTGTGTATCCCAGAACTGGTGGAGAATTGAAAACCAACACAGTAGACCTTCTGGACACTCATTATTTCCATTCTGCCCACATGAAAAATAAGCTGCCTCCCACCCAAGGCCCCTAAAGTCTCTCCCATCACAGAAGCAGCGTGATGTCAGCATCTCATCGCGTGACTCAGGACCACGCAGAGGAGGCGCCTTGACAGCTTCTGTCCAGTGAAACCGTCTGTGCTCAGCTCCTCATGGGCTCAGGCAGTTCCCTGCCCCACAAGCCCTTGATGAGGATACTGTGGAGGACAGACACAGGGCAACTTGTAGACCCTATTTGTTATGTTTTTAAAGCAAATTTATTGAGATATAACTTTTTTTAAAAAAATTATTTATTTATTTATTTATACAAGCACTGGGTACAGTGAGAAGTGCAGGAGGGTGAGAGAATTCACCAGAGCCAGATCAGGTTGCAGAACAGGCAGACTGACGAAGTACACTGCTGAGGGGAGCAGCGGGCAGCAGGAGAGATCTGCGCGCCATGTGGGACCATCCTCAGGTGGCCGGGGAGCAGCCAGAGATCGAACCGATGCTGCAGAGGCTGCGGGCAGCCTTGCAACCCAGCGCTCAACCGCTGCGCCACCGGGGAGGCCCTACCACACATTTCTTGCCTGGATTTGACTAAAGACAAAAGCACAGTAGAAAGTCATCATGTCATCACCCTTCATGGAAATGAATTGAACTCACCAAAGAGAAAGACACAGAGTGACTGGTTGTACCAAAAAACAAAACCCAATTTTATGCTGTCTCCAGGAGACAGGATCAAAACAGCCCCACTGCGGGAGACAGGTATAGGCCAGGATGCTTGAGGAACTGCCCAGTGTGGACAGTTCACACCCCCACTGCTGCAGAAACCAAGACAGGATGAGGATCCTGCAGGCGTGATTGTATTTTTTTTTATATTCTTCTTTTTTTTATTTTTTAACTTCACTTTTCACTTGTAAAGACTATTTGTTTTCCACCTACCCCCTCAGGTGTAGTCCCCATAGAGTTTCCTTCTCCAAGGCACCCGTGCACCATCACCTCAGTCCCCTGTGCTCCTCCCTCCCTCCCTCTGGTCCTCTGCACACTGGGGATCAGAGAGAGACTGAGACAGGGACACAGAGGAATGGGGCAGGGACAGAGAGGCCAAGAGGGACAGGGACACACACAGAGAGTGAGATGAGGACAGACCAGGAGGGGAGAGAGAACATCAGAGGGACATACAGAAAGAGAAAGGGAGAGTCAGCCAGTGAGGACAGGGAAGGAGACAGAAGAGGCCTCGCTGGCATCAGTCACTGTTGGAGTGGACACCCCCTGCCTTGGGTGGCCTCGTCCCAGTCAGAACCCAGTCCCAAGTCAATACAACCTCCAGGCAGGTGGGCAGGTGTGTGAGCAGGGGGGGCCCTGAGAAATCTGTGGCCGGCAGGTGTGCACTGTCTGTGGCCCTGGCACCTTGACTGGGCCCGCAAGGCCCTGTAGGGCACGGCCAGAGAGGAGCAGGGCTGACAGGTACACTGGGTGGGAGGACAGGCACCCCGGGTGGGAGATGTCTCTGCCCCCAGCAGGGCTGGCCAGGCCTGGGTGAGGCGTGTGCAGGTGCCCTTCCCCGGGTGGGACCCTCCAAGTGCTGTGAGCCTGACACCAGCCTCCCCTCCAAGGGCAGCAGAGAGGAGTGGCCCACTCCCCAGGGAGAGGCTCCACACTCTGGAGCTCCTCTGGGCCCATGGGAGACAGGAGCCTGGAGTTGCCGATGCTGCAGGGCCTGCTCCCTGGCAGGGAGGATGAGCCAGGTCAGCAGCCAGAGACCTGGGTCCCCAGGTTGTCCCTGGCTGCATGGCTCCATCCAAGGTCTCTGGGAGGCTGTGCTGCTGTCAGTGTTGTGAGATGAGCCTGGTATGGAGGGCCAACAGGAAGTGGCCCAGGTAGCCATGTGGCGGGCCCGGGGGGAGCGGGGGGGCATCTGTCTGAGCAGAAAGTCCAGGGAAGGGGACCCAGGAAGTGACATCACCTCCACGAGATGACAGGGCACACATGACCTCGGAACCCTGGTCCCCAGGCAGTTGGTTCTGAACCAAACCTGACCCAGCTCACTTGCCTGGTGGGCCTGGACCCGGCCCCACGTTTTCTTGCTGTTTGCCCAGGTCTCCCCGCAGTGGACCCAAAAAAGGTCCACGAAACTCGTGTCACACTCTGCCGAAAGGCATGAGGAGCCTGTGCGTACGCCTCGGGCCAGCACCAGCACTGCCCCTGAGGTAACTAGGGGGGCCCTGGGGACAGGTCAGACCACGCCAGGGCTCTGATGCCCCCACCCCTCCCTTCCCCCTGTGAGTGCGGGTGTGCGTGCGGTGAGAGTGAGTGTGTGCGTGCTCCAGGAAGGAGGGTCTGGCCCACCCAGGAGTCTGCTCATGTCTACACCAGAACCAGCCTGGCTGGTGGTGGGACCCAAACCGTCATGGCTGCTCCCTCTTGCCCCAGCTGGTTGCTACCCAGCAGGTGTGTCTGTTTACTCCCAGGAGGTCTTTTGTGTCCAGGAAGGTGAAGAGATCCAGAGAGTGCAATTCCCCGACTGTCCTCCCACAGCCCAGTGTGGGATCTGTCCCAGCACAGAGCCCAGGTTGAAGTGCACCTGCAACTTTGAGATTGGGGCACATGTCCAAAGGAACTGGCTGCAGTACCCGAAATCCCTGGAGGAGCCATCCGAGGGTGAGTGGCCCAGGCTGGTGCATGGGCCCGGCTGGGCGGGGTAGGGTCAGGTGGCCCTTGGAGGAGACCACACGGGCTAGATTTGGACCACGAGCAGTCTGACCTGGCATCTGCAACTGCCTCATTTGAGGAACAGAATCCCAAGGGCCCCCTATTTTAGGGTGGTCCCTGCTCAGGGCTCTAGCATGTGGTCTGTTTGAAAAGGCAAGAGGCAATCTGGCGTGTGGCTGATGGCCTGTCCTCTTGCATCTCTAGCCGCTTCTCAAGGAGCACAGTCGGGCTCCCCTGCAGCCCATGGGACAGGCCAGAGCCCAGCCAAGTTGCTGATTGGAGAGAAGCAGACACCGGGGTTGTCTCTGCTTGTGCTGCAGGATCCCTGCAGGGGCTGGTTCCCCAGGCAGGGCTGCTGCTGCCTTCGCACCCTCACTTGAACCTGCAGGATGTTGGCCAGAGGTGGCTTCCTCCCACAGGTGTGGTTCGAGCTCAGGACGCTCTTGCGTAGGCTGCATTCTCCTGGCCAGGGCCTGGCTGTTCCAGCAGGGGTGGAGTGAGCTCAGCACTGTCCCCATGGGGTGCAGCATCCTGGTCATTGTCTGGTTCCTCCTGCAGCACTCCTCTTATCTCAGAATCCTCAAAGAAGTCTTTGGGATCCTGCGCCAGTCTTGGCTTCCCCAGAAGGGGTGGGGTGTGAACTGCCCACACTGGGCAGCTCCTGAAGCATCCTGGCCTCTACCTGTCTCCCGCGGTGGGGCTGGTGTAAACACACCACTGCCAGCATGCCCTGCTGGGGCCTGGCTAGGGCCTGGCTCCCCACAAACAGGTGGTGTGTGCTTATGCCCAGCAGGTTGTCCCACAGGTTGCAGGTCCTGGACTGGTTTCCCCAGCAGGGCTGGTATTAGCTCAGCAGCCTGGGGACATCCTGCTGGAATCTGGAGGGTTTCAGGCTATGTAGGGGTTTAGTGAGCTCAGAGTGCCCAGGAACAGCTACAGTACCCTGGGCATTGTCTGTCTGACCCAGCAGGCCTGCTGGGCTCTCCTGTTGCTCTGGAACAACATATGCAGAGGGTGCTCACCTGATGCCATTCCTCCAGGGTCCCATCCCCTGACCCCTGTCCTGCCTGCCCACCTCTGGTGCTGACTAAGCACCGCTGACCCCAAACCTCTCCTCACCCACCTCTCTAGCCACATATCCTCGTTTAACTTCTACTATCCCTCCACCCACTGACACCTGGCCCTCCTCTTGTAATTCAAAAATCTTTGTTTCCTAATTGATTTCACGTTTTTTTCATTTTATTTCCTCCAGGGTTTCTTGTTCATTATAGAAATACTAATAAAGTTTGTTTTGTATCACCCAAATTTTTTCACTCCTTTTGCGTCCAGTTCTGTCATAGTGCTGGCCTCCTTCTTGCTATGGCCTATGCAGAAGATCTACAACTAGTGTAAACCCTTTAGCCAAACCACTCACTGCCCAGGCCCCTCAGGCCCTGATTCCTTCACATGTCTGCTGCCTCTGTTCTGAATTCTACCTGGGCGTTTTACAGAGCAGGAACCAAATAAGTGGTGACCTGGGATCTTCCCAAGTACACAATAGAGGTAGTACACATGGTAGGTGTAATGCAAATTTGGTTTGTTGGGCCTCCCTGGTGTCCTAGGGGTGAAGTCTCAGTGCTGCACCACTGAGGCCTGAATCTAGGCCAGCTCAGGGAGCTGAACCTGCTAGGGCTCAGCAGACTTCTCCTATCTCACCAGATGCTCCCCTTAACAGTGTATTTCAGTAAATCTACCTGTTCTGCTTCCCACTCTGTCTCTGCTGAATCCTCTTATCCCTATGCCCAAAGAAAAAAAAAATTGGGGATATTGAATTTTAGTTAAACAGTAGGGTTTTGTAAATGAGCAATATCTATCAAATCAGCCATAGGTCATTACATAAGTATAATCAAGAAATCATTATTAATGTCTATATCAGTCCATGTTAGGACATCCATTTATAAGAACATATGTTTTAGGAGGAAGATATTAAGATTAGAGATGTAATGGGATATCCAGGGCTACAATTTCATTAAATAGCCTCACCCAGGAGCACCCAATGAGACAGTGAGGAGTGGCAAGAGCTGCAGGCAGTGCCCTGATGACTTAATTTGAATGGTGGCAATGTTGACCTCCCTCCGTTATGGCTATAAAATAGACTCCTGGCAGTGGTTTGTGACTTTCTGAATGATTCAGTGCTGAGAAGGAGCAAGATGAGAAGATGAACGTCAAAGGAAGTTAGGAAATGAGGCATTTTTGTCCATGGGAGTGGACACAGGGTTTAAGACCTTTGTGTCTCATGTTAGTTCTCACCTCAGAGAGCACCTACCACAGATCATGTCCCCTTTGTGTGGATAACACTCAGCCTCTCTCGTTGGTCACCCCAGGGCTTATTCAACAGTCCCTGAAAGTCATAGAAATCGAGATCAAGGGTGATTTAATCATACCTGAGTCCAGTAGCATGAGTTTCTTCTCATCATGGGTGATTCATCAGTCACTGTCACTCACGAATGCCCAGATTTCCAGTCAAAGAAATCACAGTCAAGCTCTTGCTGTGATAACATCACTTAAGTAGACCAGACAGCTACATGGTAACAGGTGGATTTCTTCACTCAGTTTACCCTGTTATGGAGAGTGATTTGTTCTCAAGAATTGACATCCATTCTGGATGTAAGATTCCCTTCCCTGACTGCCAGCATCTCCTTTCAAGAGCCAACAGATTGCCTGATTCACCAGCATAGAGCCTATATAACATTGCCTCTGATAAGGGGCACATTTTATGGTGAAGTAAGTATGACATTGGCAGCGTGTCTGCAGGAATCACTGATTCTACCACACAGCATGTCACCTGGAAGTTGACAGCATAATTGAAGGAGGAGAGACATTAAAAACTTTTAACATTTTATCTTGGGCAAAACACTCTGAGATGGTGGAAGACAGCTTTCAACATGTGCTATACACATTGAAGTAATGGCCAATATATAATCTGTGTTCCAATATTGAGAAAGCATGGATCCTGCAACTAAGAGGTGAAGAAGGATCAGCCACTCTCACCATTACTCCTAATGATGCACTGGAGGAATTTATACTTTTCACCCCACACCTTCACCCTATTAGATTAGAGGCTCTCCAGGGACGTGAGGTGGGAGGTTGGGAGGCATATTTGTACCAGCAAGGTTCTGCTGGATTTGATGTTATATCTACTGCCTAAGCATTTATATTCCTTGAGCCAGTGAGCCATAATGAACTCTATTGTGATCGTTTTCAGAATAATTGACCCTGATTACTATGAGGAGCTAGGGTTGCTGCTGCACAATGGAGTAAGAAAGGAGCACATGTAGAAACTCTGGAGAACTGGGGCTTCTTGCCAAATAGAAATACAAACGGGCCATGCAGCAACCATGTCCTGATGGGGGTGAGGGACTCAGTCTCCCACTCTGCAGGGATGAAGAATATAGGTTTGCTCCAGGGAGAGGGGAATCTGGAATGGCTGTGTGGGAAAGAGACAAAGCACATTAATAATGGTGTTGTGACCACATGCATCTGTGGAGGCTTGGTCCATTAACAGAGTCTTTTGTAGAGCTTGTCACTGGCCACCACATCAAAGATTCTGTGACTGACTGGACTCCACAGAGTGCGTGAATAGATCTGAGTGGTGTAAGGAGTAGACTGTATGGGACATTTCTCAGGCCTCATGTCTTCTATCCCTTCAGTTCACCTTTTTACTGCTATAGTTTATTGTTTCATAGTGAGCAGTTTCATGCAGGTATAACCTTCCACCACCTTAGTCCAGTTGCACCTTATGTGTCACTTGCTGCCTCAGGTCCTTTCTGAAGCCATTCTGTGAGATGACTGCTGCACTGGTCTGGCACCTGCTCACTCATGTACAACCTAGGAGAGGGAATTAATAGCCCATGTGGCGACCCTCGATCTATGGGAGATAGAAATCAGCGAGTTAATAGGTCCCTCCATCTTTCCTTCCATCGGTGGATAATTTTCTGTATTCCACAGAATTAGCTCCTTCGAGGGCCCCAGGGAGATTGAACCCCAGTTGCCCATGGCAGTACCCAGGTCAGTAAAGCACCCTGGTATCAACTTTTCTTCCACTCCCTGCTTTATGTTTCCTGTTCCCGTGGTAATGAACCCAAATAAACTATTTGCATGCAAAACCTCAAGTTTTTTTCTGGCTAAGATACGTGTGTTACTTGGGGAAAATGGAGATGGGGATAAATCTGCTGACATGGGTATGGAAAGGTATCCCAGGAAAATTATCATTTATGCTAAATGCTGTTTATGTAAAAACACATAGATATGTAAAGAGATGCATGCAAAAATGTCACGAAAATATTAATGCTTATTATTATGGTAAGATGACAAGATAATTTTTATTATATTTTTATATTTCAAAAGTTTCATATTTTATAAATGGTTTGAGTTGTTCACAATGAATGTGTGATATTTACATTATATAATTAGAGAAACGTAGTAAAAATGGGAGTACAAATAATGAGACAATAAATAGATCTTTGGGCCAAGGTGGTATTTCTCGCTTTAGACATCTACACATAACAATCTTTTTTTCCTGAAGCCAGAAAGCAAACCCATCTCTATAGAAGTAAATAGAAGTTTTACCTTGTCAAAACAAGTGTCAAGGCATGAGCAGAGCCCACTAGTTGCATAGCAAGGGCTGGACTTCAGTCTGAGCTCCACTGGAACCTCTTGCTATCCTCACACACCATCCTCCAACCTTGCTGAAATCACATAACTCCAACTCCCACTTGGAGAAAAAGAAAAAAAATGTCCTAAACTCTTAGGCATTTGGTATTTCCTCAAAATTCTTACTTATGAGAGATAACAAGAGGAATTAAATTGGCTTATTTGTTCCAAAGGCTGATTTGGGCCCTATGAGGAATGATGGCATCTATTTACAATTATCTTTCCTCCACTATCCCTCCCTCTGATCCACAGTTTCAAGTCTTTTATTTATAATTGTCCTTAATATAGTTTGGTTCAGTTCCTAACTAGAACGTGCACTGGGAAGGAATTGAGACAGTGTTTTTGAGAGGTGGGGAAGTGATTGAAGCCCTTTTATGAACTAGGATTTGAATTTTGGAAAATATAGGCAACTTTCTATTTCTTTTTAAAGATTTTTTTTATTTATATAAGAACTGGAGTGTAGTCAGAGGCATGGGAGGGTGAAAGAATTCACCAGAGACAGAGCAGGGAGAAGAACAGGCAGACAGACAGAAGACACTGCTGAGGGCAGCAGCGGGAGAGGCAGGAGAGGTCTGCCGTGCCATGTGGGTTTCTCCCTGGGCGGCCGGGAATCGAACCCACACTGCAGAGGCTGCGGACAGCTTCACAGTGCAGTGTTCCACCCGCTGCACCACCAGGGAGGCCCACAACTTTCTATTTCACACCCCTCACAGAAGAAATCTTCAGGGTGAAGATTCTAAGTATGAAGGATTTTGAAATGTGTACTGGAATGAAGAAGGTTGGGGAAATCCGTTCCAAAATCATCAGGTGACAGCAGCTTCAAATATTAGTAAATCCTGACTTGAGAATTGAAGAAAATTTCCCACTGGGGAAAAAAAAATGGAATGGAAGTTGATACCTGGCACTTGATTCTACAATCCAGAAGAAAGAAAAGGCAAACTTCCTGCAAACATCAGTTTAGGGACTTAAACACACCAGAAGCATCGTTTTTCAACTTCAAGATGTATGTTTCTACCACCCAGTGGCGATTAAACAAACTGATGAACACTCTTTTAAGTTCAATATTCTTTATTGAAAACCATAACTTATAAGACAAACTATCAGGTCATCCCCAAACGCCGGGTTTTCCTTAAACCTCAGGTTCTCACCATCCCCGGCTGCAGGGGGCCTTTTTGGCCCAGTCAGATAAGGTACTAGCAAGCAGCTAAGAAAAAGGGCCTCACACCGTGGGGCTGAAGATTTAACAACCCTTTGCTTGTTGTTCTTGGTCACAAAAAGAGAAAAATTTATCAGAAAGTATATTAGGCAATAAATTACACGTATCAGCATATTGTAAGTGAACAGCACGGAAAATTATCTGTTTAGAAATTAGTTATTAAACAATTTGGCCCACTTGACAATGGGAGACAATTTATTGTACATGCCTGACAAGCAATCCAGCACAACAATTATAGTAGGTCCTTCTTTTGCCTTCTCTTGAAGCTTCTTGGGAAAGTTTTTTAATGAAGCTATTTGAGTTAAGGAGTTTCTAGGTAGAAAAAGTTCTGATAGTTGAGTAGCAGCCGGTCCCCTGGCTGAAGGCCATGCGAATAAGAAAAGTCTTTTCTTGCTTAGGCTTTAGCTGATAGGGGTGTCCTGGCGGCTATCCACTGTCTTAGGTTATTGTTTAACTGAAACAATGAGTTTTAGTGTAAGGCTTAGTTTTTTATTAACCTTGAAGGTTGCCTTCTTACTGAGAGCACGTAGTGGCCAAAAGTCTATGGAAAAAAGGATGCACTGATTGTTTCTGCTTTGTTTCTATGCACATGATATTGTCATCTCACGGCTTGCTAAAAAAGTATAAAGAACCTGCTGAGTCTCTCGGCAGAAGATACTTGCACCTCATCCAGTGTCAGTGTCTCCTCACTGCCTCATCCCCTTCCCCTCAGTCCTTTTCGCTGCACCTAGACCGTCTTTTCCTTTCAAGGACTTCAGACCTGACATTTTGCTGAAAGCTGGTCTGCGGCAATCCCCCATTCCACATGGCTCCTTAGAGGGAGCAAAGAATAAAGTTTTGCCTTACCCTAGGCCTTAGCCTTCCTTTACCTTGTCAATAAGATGTTCTCAAGGCATGGTCCTGTTTTGAGAAGGCAGTGGGTGGGGCGTTCTGAGCTCGGGTGCCTGAATGTCTTAGGAGGCCTGTCTTCAGGATAATGCCAGGTTTGGGATGAGCTAGCCACCCGGATGGTGGAGGTTTCCATTTTCGTAATATTTTAATGTTATTTAGATATCCAAGCACTCCAGGAAGCTTCTAGGGAGCAGGAAATGTCCTCTTGGTCTTGGTCAGCGGGGCAGTGGTTATCAGGTTTATAAAACGTAAAAACCAATTTTCATGCACTTGATTATAAATAAGATATATTTCAGTTTAAAGCGTTATTAAAAACATATACCTTTAAAATGTTCAGTGCCAGGGATAAAACCTCACACTGTTCTCCTCATGACTTTGGACTGTCACTGCAAAAACATTGACTTCTCCTAAGAGAAAATTAGAACTTAGAGAAGAAATGGATATTTAATTGCAAGATATTTTGATCGGAGACAGTTATTTCCATTTAGGTGATTCGTTTCTTTTCCTTTTTAACATCACATTTGATTTATAGTTGATAGTACCTTGGAATGCTATTTAGTTATAAAACTGGAAATGCTTAATTCTTGCTTTCTGGCTCCTTTCTTAGGACGTGACTTCCATGACCGTCCTTGGACAACCTGCTGACCATGCTGCAGGCCACTCTTGGCTGGAGCCTGCAGCCTGCATGGGGCAGTCCCGATGCCAGTGCACATGGCGGGGAGCCTAGCGGCAGCTGGCTTTTGCTCTCCTCCCCACCCATGCACCCTGGGCTCTTGAAACAGAAGAGGGTGCTCTCCAGACCACGGACCAGGTATGTATTTCCAATTTGGAATTGTTTGCTTTTGTTAAATCAGTCACTCTTTGGCCGACCTGCAAAAGCTGTTTTCTTCTCAGGGTTTCTGTTTTTGTTCACCTATGAAATGAAGGAGCTGGTCTGACTTAAATCACCTGGGTGATTTAACCCAAACAAGAAAACAGGTGCTGTAGCAGACAGTGTTCAGTGCTTTGGTTAAAGAATGTCCGTCCCTTAGCTTTTTCATAGAGAGCATGTTTTTCAAAAACACATGCCTGGTGCAACAAGTTTCATCACCTCTACCTCACTGAGTGGCACTCAAAATACACTAGCTTGGCAACGAGGTGCTGTGAGTATGCTCTGTATCTTGCCCATCCCTCCCCCACCCCTCAAGTCATCCACTCTTTGTGAGAATAACTGAAACCATTGAGAGTTATTATTATTATCAAATGTTTATGAAATAATTTTGACCACAAGATATTGCTAAAAATACATATATAAAATATAAATGTGTATATATAAATATATGTATATAAATATATACAAATATGTGTGTGTATACAGAAATTCCTATTTCTCCTTCACACTGCTTTCCCCAATGACATCAATCTTTGTGGAACCATCATTTCATAACATGATTACCCTTCCCCACTCTTATCCCCCAGCCATCAGTCTTGGATTCTGAAAAAATCCTACTCTCAAATGGCAGCATATTTGCAGCACAAGAATGAGAATCTGAGAATAAGAAGCCTTTCCTGGTTCCTGAGCCACAGCTTATTGTCTTTATGTGATATGGCTTCTCAAGGACATAAAAAAATTCCCTCAAACAAAAGCCAATGGTTTATTTATATAAAGTAGAGGCAATGAGCTCATGAATGCATGCATTTGCTTATTATTCTTCCTCGCAGAGGAGATGGATGGATGACTCTATTTATCTCTCTGTCTACACATCTCTCTCTCTCCATATGCAAAGAAAAGTGGTTTAAGTTGAGGAAATCAGTGAGTAATGATAGGAGGACTTGGTTGAGATGTGGGAAACTGAAGACTTAGTCCCAGCCCTGCTTATAGAATGAACTTGGCAAGTCATTATCTGAGACTTCATTTCCTCTACAATGAGGGAGGAAGGCTGGGGGGACGTGCAGTCAGAGGCTCAAACTGTACAACTCTATGGAGTGACCTTGACAGGCTGGGCTTTCTCGGAAGCTGACTCCATGAAGGGGCTTAGCAGGAAGGCTGCTTATTCAGGAGGAACTGAGGAGCATCATTGACTCTGGTATATAGCTTTATGCAATTTGAGGCAATTTTTCCTGGTGACACTTTCCAACTCTGGACAATAAGGTCTTCACTTAAGTGTTACAGGGCAAGAGAGGGACACCCCAGAACCCCCAAACCTGCCCATTCTAAATACGTTCTGCCGTCTGCCACACCAAGACAAAACATACAAGACCTTTAATGGAAAGTAACTTTAATACAATTAGTGTGCAGTACAGAAAAGACAAAGTATATAGTTTCCAAATCAAGCACCTAAAGTTACCCATGCCCTCATGGGTGAATGCCCAGCCAAACTGGGTTGAACCAAAGCAGGGCCACTGAGGCCCAAAAGTCTGCCACAAGTCTAAAGCACCTTCTGGTGGGGACCCATAGAAAAGGGTCAGAAACAGCCAGACAAGTCTGGAGGAAAAGTGCAAAATCAAAATCAAGATCAATGCTGCCATTGGTCTCTCATCCACATCTGTTTCAGTCCGTCTAGGACCAAACATCAAGCACAGCTTCTTCACATGTCTCTTCACTCCATGTGCCTCCTCTAGGTCTCCTTCTGGCTCTCCATCCTGCTTCCTTCCTTCTCCAGTCTCCTCTTCAGCTTCTTCTCTTCCCTGATCAGCTATAACCTCCCTTGGGTGGGGCAGGGAATCTGGCACTTCCCCTTTTCCTGGGAAGCTCCCTGTTACAGAAGGACCATCTGGGAGGCCCATCACCATGTCCACCACAATGTGAAAGCATAAGGTTGCTGTTAGTAAAATAATAGGATCTTAACATCATGCGGATATTGGAGATCATGCCACTCTACCTCTCTGTTGAACAGTGGAGGAAAATGTGGGGTTCAGTGACTTGCCCATGATCACTCAGCAAGATTACAGCAAAATAAGTCTGTTCTTTCCAGAACAAGACTGTTCACATGGTATACACCTGATGGAGGACAGGAATAGCAAAACTGCAAAGGCGGCCCCACAAGACCAGCAACCTGGCTCACACAGGAATTGGGGGTAGAAGAGATTAGCATAGCTGTTGACACAGCTATGGAAACCAAGATCCTTAGGTGCCAAAGCCCAAATTACAAAGCATAAGATCCAAGCAGGTATCAAGCTGCTGTAGGCAGTGTCCAGAGCAAAGGTTCAAGGGTAAAGATATGGAGATCAAGTCCATTGTGGAATCTCCTGTCCTTTTCAGATTCTACATAGTTATCCAAAATGAGCAAATGGGCCTCCCTGGTGGCACAAGGGGTTAAGATGCAACCTATGAAGCTATCTGCAGCCACTGCAGGACGAGTTCCATCCCCAGCCAGGGAGCAACCCACATGGCGCAGTAGACCTCTCCTGACTCGCCCGCTGCTCCCCTCAGCAGTGTATTTCAGTCAGTCTGCCTGTTCTGCTCCCCACTCTGTTTCTGGTGAAACCTCTCACCCCCCACACCTCTGGCCTGTACCCCAGCTCTTGTATGCATAAATAAATAGATCTTAAAAAAAAAATAAGCAACTAACCTAAGGCTCACAAGGAGTGAGCCCCTCCCAAACAAGAGAAGACTTTATCAGTGCAGTCTCTGCACAGGCTCTGGGAGCAATCTCTCGGCCTTCTGTGCCTATGCAGGTGCTTCTTTTTACCAACCCTCTCCCTCTGCAGGGCAGCAGCTCCCTACCTGCCCGTGACCTGTACTTCCCCTCATTGACCTCCTTCAGCGGAGGCCGCTCTCCTCAAGGCCACCTGCCTGCAAACATGCAGGCCTCTCTTAGCCAACCTGTCCCTTTCAGGGCAGCTCTTCCTGCCTGCTTGTGTCTATGCAAGTGTCCTTTATTCTTCTGTCCTTTCCCTAACAAACCTGCTTTTTAAATATAACCAATGTCTCTGTTCTCGTGGAGGAACTTGCCTGGGAAACTCATCGCGTATTGCTGAAACGGGAGCTCTGGTGAAACCTTTCCCAGAGTGAGCCCAAGGACCCCGCACTCCAAACCCACTAACTCCAAAAAATCCCATCACACCTGCTGAACTCTCCACAGGAGCATAAAGAGGCAGGTCACAACTGTCCTGAGGGTGCCACACTGGCCTTGGCCGCAGTCACAGCCCAGGGGGTCTGGAGCTCTAGCCTGCATTTTATGACAACTCTTCTACTCCCAGTGCCTCAGCCTTTCAAAGAAAGTGGCATTCATGCCTCTTGCTTCCTTGGTGCCTGTTCAGGGAATTTTTTCAAGTTGATCCTTTCTCCTTGGCGCCTGGTTAAAAAAGGGGGACTTAAAAATGCATTAGGATTAAGCCCAGTAGTGATGGTGCCTTGGTGCCTTCGGCCATATGGGAAATTCTTCAATTCATCATGCAAAGCTGGATTGACAGAAAACAGGGCCAAGCCTGAGAGGATCAGGAACTGGCATTTTCCCCCCAGATTTGCACAATTCACCCGCAAGCATCTCTGGGGCTTGAGCTGAAGAGGCCCCAGGCGGCTAATAGTTAACTTTGGGGTTTGTGTTCAGAACCAGTCTCTGTGACTGGCAGCACTTGGGGTGGGGGTAGGAGGCAGGAACCAGAGGTAAAACTGCCAGAAATGGTTACATTTTGTAAGTAATGTATCTTATCTTGTTCCATTCAGAGAGGAAAAGAAAACATCAGCCTCAGAGCCAAACCTATTTCTGGGGTTAATCCATCTCTGTACAGCTGCTCCCTGTAAATCTCTCTTGCATTAGATTCCAGGTGCTTTAGACTAATTAATGCACACACTGTGTTTCTGGGAAATTTAATAAGAGCTGGCAGTGTCTCTTGTAATTCGTGTTTCTGTGTCTTACCTCCACATCATGCGTTCATATGGAAATTAATTTAGTGCTCATCAGATAGCAGAGTGAATGGTCAAGGTGTGGGTTTCTCTTAAGCATTGTTGAAAGTTCTTCCCCCACCCTCCTGCAGGTGAATACTTAATATTATCCAAACAGGGAGAAACTACCTTGCTGCCAATACACAGGAATGATTTTAGAGCTGAAGGTGTAACAAGGCAATCCCCAGGAAAGGGGAGTTTCCAGGTTCCTTGTGATACCGGAATTGTCAGGCCTAGTCTTCCAGCCTGGAACAGATCCCAGGCTGCAGGTGCAGCACTGAGTCCCAGCCACTAGACCCCCACGGGTTGGTGTCTCACGAAGCCACAGCAGGAACTTCGCAGACTCTCAGGCAAGCAAGCAAGAAGAGGCAGGTTTGTTTTGAGAAAGAAAAAGTTTATTGAGGAGAAAATCCCTAAATTCTTCAGAGGTCCCCTCCTGCACTGTCCCTAAAACTGCCTAATTTCTAGCTTGCCCTGTGTCTCACTTGCCCTGTCATGGAAGTGTGGAGCTGAGCAGGGACGGGGAGCAAGAGAAGGCAGGAGAAGGAAGGAAGGGGATACCAAGACCAGCACCTGGAGGAGACAGTGAGCAGGAGACACGTGAAGAAGCTGTACTTGCTCCTTGGCCTGGGCTTGTATCAGGAACTTGGGGGACATGGAAGGAGACAATTGAAAGAGACAGAGATGTGGGGAAGAGACCTGTGGGGAGGCTGACACCGGCAGCCTTTATATTGATTTGGGTTTTGATTTTGATTTTGCTTGTTTCTTTTTATTTATTTATTTATTTAGTTTTTTATTTTATTTTTATGCAAGATCTGGGGTATAGGACAGGTGCAGGGGAGGGTGAGAGAATTCACCAGAGACAGAGTGGGGAGCAGAAAAGGCAGAAGGACCAAAGACACTGCTGAGGGGAGCAGCGGGCGATGCAGGAGAAGTCTGCCGCGCCATGTGGGTATCTCCCTGGCCTGCCAGAATTGAACCCACACCGCAGAGGCTGCAGACAGTTTCACAGCCCTGCGCTCAGCCCGCTGCGCCACGGGGAAGCCCTGATTTTGCTCTTTTCCTTCTAGACTTTCCTGGCCCCTTTTGCCCCTTTCCTATGGGCCCCCACCAGGAAATGCCTTAGACTTGCGTCCTGTTTTGAGCTAACTCTGTTTGCCTGGGCATTTACCCACAAGCGCATGGGTGGTAGTTTTTGGTGCTTGATTTGGAAACTGTATTCTTCCTGTTTTTCTTCTCTTTATTGCACACTAATTGTATTAAAGTTGTTTTTCAGGGCCTCCCCGGTGGAGCAGCGGTTGAGCGCTGGGTTGCGAAGCTGCCTGCAGCCTTTGCAGTGCTGGTTCGATCCCCGGTTGCTCCCGGTCACCGGAGGAGGGTCCCGCATGGCCCGCAGACCTCTCCTGCCGCCCGCTGCTCCCCTCAGCAGTGTACTTGGTCAGTCTGCCTGTTCTGCTCCCCGCTCTGGCTCTGGTGAATTCTCTCACCCTCTCGCGCTTCTGACTGTACCCAGTGCTTGTATAAATAGATAAATAAATAAATCTTTAAAAAAAAATAAAGTTGTTTTCCATTGAAGCTTTTATGCACTGGAGCACGTTTTGTCTTGATGTGCTGGGTGGCAGAACCTATTTAGAGCAGACAGGTTTGGAGGTCCTGGGGTACCCCTCGTCCTCCTGTAACAAAGGGATTCCTTCACTTTTCACATCTGGACTTGACCTGGCCCTCCATGGCCAGTGTGTTCCCATCACGCCCTGCCATGCACTACCTGGGAACCCTCTAACTTAGCTGACCTCTAGACACTTCCTAAATGTTCATTCTTTTCTAGGCCTTCTCGTCCCTTAGTATATGCTGGTCCCTTTGCCTGGACCATCTTTCTCTGCCTTCTTCACTAGAGAAACATCTGCTTCTCCTTGAAGGCTCCTAAAATGTCATTCCTCTGAAGGATTGGAGTTGGGATTCCTCAATAATGAAGGTGTCATAGGGTTGCTGGTGGGAGACAAGCCTGCATGAGGAAACCCCAGGTAGCTGAGAAACTGATTCATTGTTCTCCCTCCCTGGAGAGATTCTTACAGGGGTCCTGCTCTTGCTTATTTGCTGCAGGGGGTCTTGTTGCCCCAGCCGGATAGGATACTGACAAGCAGCAAAGAGAAAGGGCCTCACACCGTGGGGCTGAAGATCTGGCATCCCTTCGTTTTTTGTTCTTGGTCATAGAGAGAGAAAAATTTATTAGAGAGTATATTGGGCAGTGGATTGTACGTGTCAGCAGACTGTGGGTGGATGGTGTGGAAAATTGTCTGTTTAGAAATTAGTTATTAAACAATTTGACCCACTTGACAATGGGAGACAATTTATTGTACATATCTGACAAGCAAACCAGCACAACTATTATAGTAAGTCCTTCTTTTGCTTTTTTAGAAGTTCCTTTTTATTTAGAAGTTTCTTAGGAAAGTTTTAAAATGAAGTTAACTGTGTTAAGTTTCTAGGTAGAAAAAGTTCTGATAACTGAGTAGCAGCCGGTGCCGGCTGAAGGCCATGAGAATAAGGAAAGTCTTTTCTTGCTTAAGCTTTAGCTGATAGGGATGTACTGGCGGCTATCCACTGTCTTAGGTAATTGTCTAGCTGAAATCATAAGTTTTAGTGTTAGGTTTGGTTTTTTATCTATTGACCTTGAAGGCTACCGTCTAGCTGAAACCTGTAGGAGCCAGTAGTCCATGGGAATAGAATACTCTGATTGTCTCTGCTTTACACATGATAATGCATTTTTTTTCTGATTACTAAAATTGAATAAAGAAAGACCTGCTGAGTCTCTCAGCAGAAGATACTTGCACCTCATCCAGTGTCAGTGTCTCCTCACTGCCTCATCCCCTTCCCCTCAGTCCTTTACACCGTACCTAGGCCGTCTTTTCCTTTCAAGGACTTCTGACCCGACATTTTGCCAAAAGCTGGTCTGCGGCACTTATTCAAGTAGGCCATCTGTGACTGCTTGCACTGTTTTCATTTGGCATTACTGGGCGGATTGTCAATAATTCCTTATGGGGACCTGCTTTACCCTTGTTGGCTACCAGAACTTAGCAGGCCTAGAAAAGCAGTGGGGGTGGGGGGGACAATGAGAAAGAAGGCGGGGAAGACAGGGGGTAGCTAATGAGTCTCCTCAGTGAGCACACAAAACAGTGAAGGAATGAAATATAAGCAGGAAGTGAATTTGCTTCCAAGGGAAAATGGGTGGAAAATTATTTTTCCTCTGCTTTGGATTTCATTTTTAAAAAATGCCTTTCTCTTGGGCCTCCCCTCGTGGCGCAACAGTTGAGCGCTAGGCTGCGAAGCTGCCTGAAGGCTCTGGAGCACCAGTTTGATCCCAGCCACCGGTGAAGGTCCCACATGGCGCACAGACCTCTCCTGCCGCCCGCTGCTCCCCTCAGCCGTGTATTTCGTCAGTCTGCCTGTTCTGTTCTCCACTCTGGCTGTGGTGAATTCTCTCACCCTCCTGCACTTCTGATTGTACCTAGTGCTTGCATAAATAAATAAATAAATAAATCTTTTTTAAAAAATACCTTTCTCTTTAGTGGAGAAAAAAAAAAAAATAAAGGTAAACCCACGATGAGGCACCACTTCATGCCCAAGAGAAAAGCCCATCTTGAAATAAAAAAAGACATCCCCTGCTCATGGATTGGAAGAATAAACATTATTAAAATGGCCATCCTACCAAAAGCAATTTACAGATTCAATGCAATTCCAATCAAAATTTCAATGACATTCTTCAAAGAAATAGAACAATTATTGATGAAATTCATATGGAATCACCAAAAACCCCAAATAGCCAAAGCTCTCCTGAAATAAAAAAGAAGGGAATGGAGGCATCTCACTCCCAGACTTCAAACTATACTACAAAGCCATAATCATCAGAACTGCATAGTATTGGACCAAGAACAGACACACGGACCAATGGAACCAAATAGAAAATCCAGAAATAAACCCACAGATTTATGGTCAGCTAATCTTTGACAAAGGAGCAAAGAATATGCACTGGAGCAAAGAAAGTTTGTTCAATAAATGGTGCTGGGAAAACTGGGTCACTACATGCAAAAGAATGAAGCTTGACTACTACCTCACACCATGCACAAAAACCAACTCAAAATGGATTAAAGAACTAGACATAAGACCTGAAAATACATAGAAGGAAATACAGGTGAAACACTACATGACATGTATCTCAAAGACATCTTTACAGACACATCACCCAAAGCAGTGAGAGTGAAAGCAAAGATTAACAGCTGGGACGACATCAAATTAAAGAGTTTCTGCACAGCAAAAGAGACAATAACCAAAACAAAGAGAAATCCCACCAACTGGGAGAAAATTTTTGCACACAACACTAATGATAAAGGACTGATCACAAAAATCTACAAAGAGCTGATGAGACTCAACAAAGCAAAGAAAATAATCCAGTGAAAAAATGTGCAGAAGAGCTAAAAAGAAACTTCTTCAAAGAGGAAATGCAAATGGCCAACAGGCATATGAAAAAATGTTCAACATCACTTGTAATCAGGGAAATGCAAGCCAAAACTACAATGAGATACCATCTTACACCAGTGAGAATGGCATATATTAAAAAACTAGCAACAACAAATGTTGGTGAGGTTGTGGAGAAAAAGGAACTCTCCTGCATTGCTGGTGGGAGTGCAAACTGGTCCAACCACTATGGAGAGCTGTGTGGAGATTACTTGACCTACTAAAGATAGAGCTTCCATAGGATCCAGCAATTCCACTCCTAGGTATTTACCCAAATGACACAGAAACAGTAATTCCAAAGGTCACCTGCACACCTTTGTTTATAGCAGTACTATTTACAATAGCTAAGCTATGGAAACAACCCAAATACCCAAAAATAGATGACTGGATCAAGGAGATGTGGTACATATACACAATGGAATATTACTCAGCAATCAAAAAAGATAAACACATGCAGTTTGCAGCAACATGGATAGAGCTAGAAGGGATCATGCTCAGCGAAATAAGTCAGAAAGAAAAAGAAAAATACCAGATGGTCTCACTCAGAGCAGGAATTTAAAAACCTAAATAAGGGACCAGGAAAAAAGACTAATTAATACAAAGTAAAAATCAAAATCAACAAGCAACTATAAACCAGAGACACCCTATGGGGGGGCAGGGAGAGGAAGGACTCGGGTCAAAATAAAGGAGGGGGTGCAATTGTATGGGCAATATAACCAAAATGAAAATGCAGACATTGTGCAAAAATGAAAAATGATATAAGAATTATATAAAATAAAATATTAATTTAAAAAAAGAAAAAAAAAGAAATGCTTTTATTCTTTGGTGCAGCAGGAACATTGCTCCTCAAATTGTTTTCGCCCGTGGGATGAGGAGATGTTGAGTGTTCTAACCTCAGTGTCTCTGACATTTACATCCATGAGCTCCTACAAAGATTCACTTCTAAGACATCGTGGTTGTTTGAATGATTGTTCCCAAAAGGTATTGATTAATGGATCCATGTTCACCCCCAAAGAAATTTCTAATGGGCTGCAACAAGGTTCTATCTGTAACTCTGTACACTTTATCATTCACTCACGAAGATGTGAAAGTCAGACTCTGGATAATTAGAATACAAAAGCAATGGATATAGGCTGCAAAGGTGTTCTGAAGTTCAGTTAGTAAAAATGATGTCATAATCATAAGAATAGAACAGGACTTGAGACTAAACTGAGGTTTAAATATAAATGTTAATGTGGGTTAAACTAATTGCTATTCAAAAAAAAAAAAAAAAGAAAACTAAAACAATGTGTTCTCCAGTGAACACTGGCAGGGCTGTCCTTCCAGCACATCTTTTCTAGAAATTAACTCTCTACCTATACAGAATGGTAGCCACATAAGCACTTAAGGTACAACATGACGTAGGTGATAAGACCAGAAGTGGACACTTGACCCAAGAAAGAGAATCTATTTCTGAGGATTCCAAAATCAGATCTGAGAATGGTAAGACAGTCCCTTTTAGGAAGTCTGGGGTCTAAGAAGTAAAACCTTGGGTTGGCAGGTAGCCATGTCTCCACTATGGGGGCAACACAGGGATCTGATCTGTATAGACAGTAACAGGAGAGGCTTCTTTCTAATTTTAGTTTCCTTGGGTCAGTTGCTTCTGTGGCTGAGGTGCATCTTTATCTCTTAGTGTCATTCTACTGTAATAACATGACAGAATCTAGTAAATTCCCTTTTAACTCAAGCTAATTAAGTTTCTGTCATTTGCAACACAAAATGTCAGTAATAATATTTAAACTTGACCTCCAACATCGTGTCTGGAATAAGGGTGGAATAATAATAAAGTATTAAATCTCTAGGTAGTACTAATAAAGTATTAAATCTAAGCTCTACCCTGATTATACTACGGTGGACTACAGTGGTCATTTCCAGGTTCAGTTTTCTAAAGATGACTGTCAAGGGGTAGGTCTGAAGGAAGAGGATGTAGCTGTACAGAAATGTTTGAAGAGTTGTCATGTGGAAAACAGGGAAGCTGGTCTGTGTTGTCCAATGAACAAAACTGACAGCAAAAGTTGAAGGCTGGAATGTAATATACAAGTTTCCTTTCTCAGTATTAGAGCTATCCAATAATGGATGGATTATCTAGTGGAAGATCAAGGCCATCATCAATGGGAAGATTGCCTCACAATTCGTATATTTACTTATTTGGTAATTTGAAATAGGTAGCAATTAATTGTTAGTTTATAATTTATTGAAGATTTTCCATACGTGAACTGTTGTGTTTGACATATGCTTTATATGAATTTACTCATGTAAACTTCATAATGATCATATGAAATAAGGAATGCCATATCCATTAAAATTATTTATCAACTATTGTGGCAAAGGGTAATATTGTGGCAATTTTTAAAATGCAAAAGCTAATTTCTGGAATGATGCTACTGTTCGTTTCAATTGTCATAAGTACTTGTAATTTTACCATTACATGGAATATTTTAGGTTAATAGATAGTTCTCAATTTTGACTCAATTCTATAACAAATTGTAACCTTTCAGGTTTTTAATAAGTATAAGCTATAGCACTTCCCTTTCCATTATGATTAAGTTAGTTATAATTACTCAATTAACTCCCTGTTGTGCTTTCAGGAAGTGGTGAATAATGTGGTGAATAATGTCCTTTCATTTTTTTACATAGTAGGAAAACTGACTCTTGTCTTAATATTTCAGAGTTGTGAAATTCAATTATTTCATCTTTCATAGGTAGGTAAGACATGGAGTTTTACTTATTTATTTTACTATGAATCAAATCCCCAAATCTTTAAATTTATCTGCTCCATAAAGATTCCAAAACAAACTACTAAGTGGTCTGCTTAACATCAGATTGAATGTGGAGGGAAGATAACCCAAAGTAGATAAGTAGCCCAACTTACCATATTCTTTATAAAATAACAAAATATTATCTATCACACTAAATACTAACATACATTTTTTAGAGACTACAGAAATAAACCCATACTTATATGGACAATTAATCTATGACAAAGGAGCCAAAATTATAGATTAGAGAAAGGAAACTTTCTTCAACAAATGGTACTAGGAAAACTGGACAGTCACATGCAGAAAAATGAAACTAGATCACTGTCTCATACCACATACAAAAGTTAACTCAAAATGGAATAGAGATGTGGATGTAAGATCTGAAATCATAAAAAATACATAGAAGAAAACATAAGCAGAACACTCTACTACATTGACTTCAGGGATGTATTTGGGGAATTGACTCCAACGGCAAGGTAAACAGAAGCAAAAATAAACAAATGGGATGACACCCAACTGAAAAGTTTGCACAGTGAAATAAACTATCATTAAAATAAAAAGATGCCCCACTGAGTGGAAGAAAATATTTGTATTTTCTAATATCAAAGATCTACAAAATTCAGCAACAAAAATTATCCAATAAAATAGACGCTTCTCCAAACAAAACATATAGATGACCAGCAGGAACATGAAAAAATGTTCATCATCACTTTTCATCATATGTAAATCAAAACCACAATGGGTTACCACCTTACATAGTGAGAATGACCCATATTGATAAGACCAGAACAAGTGTTGGGGAGGATGTTGGTGGGATGCAGACAGGGCTAGCCCTTATAGAAAACAGTATGGAGTTTGCTCAAAATATTAAAAACAGATCTGATGGTTGATCCAACATTCCTAGGTATCTATCTGAAGTTACTTAGATATGCCCTAGAAGAATTACAAAAAGACTAATTCAAAGGGATATTTGCACTCCTATGTTCGCTACAGCACTATTTGCATTGGTTATAGAAATAACCTCAGTGCCCAAGGATAGATGAGTGGGTAAAGAAGTTGTGGCATACATGTACAATGAATATTACTCAGTTTAAAAATAGATGAAAATTTGCCAGAACAACATGCATAGAACTGGAGGGGATTATGCTAAGGAACTAAGAAGAAGAAAGACAAATACTGGATGATTTGATTCATATATGAAATACAGAGAAATAAACAAAAGGAACAGACAAAACTAATATAAACAAACTAGAAATATGGCTGCAGAATAGAGGCTACAGAGGGGATGAGTGGGAAGGAGGCTCAGTGGTCTACGGAGAGGATTCTGGGTATACATGTGTGGTAGGCATGGTGTGGAAACATATAGCTTATGAGGCGTGAACCTATATCCCTAAATTATATACAGTGTTGTAAATCAATGTTCCCTCAAAAAGTTATAGAAACATTAAAAATATATTTTAGCTTAGAGAAACTCTGTAATTATCAATTTAATTTTAAACCCAATTTTTTTACCAGACACTATAAAAATTCTGCTACAGTACAAGATTTTTGCTTGATTTCCTCATTCTCTTTTCCTCGTTTGTCCTACATTTTTTTTTCTTTTTAAAATGTCTGCTTAAAAGACTATACATAAATATACAAAGATCATAGCTAAACCAGATGCAGAGAGACTAACAGTTAATGACAAATGCTGGAGATTCTTTTCCAGTTAAATATTGAGGACCAGGCGGCTGAGTAGGCCTAACAAAAGAACACATGCTTATGAGGGTTACAAAGATGGAGTAAGAAGAACTAGTTCTCATTTGGATAAAATTAAGTTATTTAATGAAAGCATGTAAGAAGGATTTGAAATCAAAGTAAAAGTGAAATTAAGTTAAATCATTTATTCACTCCTATACAAAAGGGAAATGTTTTTGCAATTTGTAAAATTTCTTTTCAAAATTAATGCTTAGGACAAATGCTAGTATTTGGTGCCTTACAGCTGCATGTAGTAAATGAACTGTCCATGTAGTTTGACTTCACCCAGAAGCTAAGGACCTCAGAAGCATTTTAAGATGTTTGTGAAACACAAATGAAGTGAGTCATCAGAGATATGCTGCAATATGTGTTTGAGATACATGCTCATACATGTGGATAATATTTGTTCTCAAGCAGATGAATATTGCTGTTGCCAAGGTGGTCACTATTTAGAAAGTAATCAAATGAAGACAAGATAACTACTTTTGTTAGGCAAGGTAGCACTGTTTTGTCTTAAATTTATTTCATAAAAATTCCTTTTTTAAGTATACAATAGAAGGTACTGAGAAAATAGTGTCTGAAAAATGTTTTAGAGGGCCTCCCCAGTGGCGCAGAGGTTGAGCGCTGGCTTGCGAAGCTGCCCGCGGCCTCTGCGGCGCCGGTTCGATCCCCGGCTGCTCCCCGGCCACCGGAAGAGGGTCCCACATGGCACGCAGACCTCTCCTGCCGCCCGCTGCTCCCCTCAGCAGTGTACTTCGCTCCCTCTGCCTGCTCTGCTCCCTGCTCTGGCTCTGGTGAATTCTCTCACCCTCCCGCACTTCTGACTGTACCCAGTGCATGTATAAA